GAAGGGAAGACCGGCGTAGAGGGTAGTCCGAAGAGGCAGCCGTAGTTCCTGACGAAAAGACGAAGGCTGGATTCGCTGTACCAACTATTCTTCCTCGTAGCTGTAGTTGCTAGTTCCGACCGGCCTTGATTTCTTCAATCTTCTTCTGAAGGTCAGGGCTTTCGCCAATTACTCTTTTGATCTTGTCGGCGATCCGTTTTGGAGCCTTTCTTGAATAGCTTGGTCGGCGGTCCTCAAAAACAAGCCAGCAGTCCTTAAGTTCATGGCCGATCCTCTTGCAGGCTGGACAGCGGTCTTGATCTTCATTTTCTTCTTCGTCTGATGAGGGGAGATGTCTTTCTCTTCTTTCGTGTTCCGTCTGCTTGAAAGGCGCCTCCTCTTTTTTAGAGGTCGAAGGTGCTGACTTGGGCGTTGTTCTTCGACCAACTCTCGGATTTGCCGGGCAACTGACTGGAAGGTCCATCGTTCTTGTGGCTGATTTCGATCGTGAGGCGTTTGACGACGAATGGAAACATCTGATCGCGGGCGTAGCTCTTTGTAGACTCTGTGCTGAGCTGCAGCGGCGTCTTCATCCAGGACTTTGCTGGCGTTCTTGAACGAAGTAGCAGTACCGTCACTAAGAGGTCTTATTAGCAGAGCAATGTCTCTCAGCCATTGTCCGGTCAGTGCTTCAATAAGGAAGTATTGGTCAGCTTGTTCAATAATTTCTTCCCACTTGGCCAACCAGGAAGAAACGGTCTGCTTTGAAAAGGACCTCAGGTGGGCAGTATATTGGCTTCTGATTCGGTCAGCCATAAACCCTCTCGACGGTGCAGTTGAGTCCTCGAGCTTTTTGATCCATTCGTAGAGAGTTTCATCCTCATGCAGAGAGGTTAGCTTTGCTGGGCTAATCGACTCGGTAATGACAGTCCGAGCAGCTGTAATCAGCTTGGTTTCATAGAGATACTCCTTGCGAAGACTCTCATATTGGCTAAACATGGCTGCATATGCTCTCTGCTGCGCTGGGGTTTGTTCAGCAAATTCATTAGCATCAGCAGCAAAATCCGTATAAGGAGGACGAATGGGGGGTTCCAGCGGGCTGTTGTCTTCATCAAATAACAGCTTGTGAATCGTCTTGTCAGTATGAGCTTTTAGTTCTTTGATCCACTTATCCCAATCTTGGGGTTCCCGTAGGATCGTCCGTTGGGTCGAAGTCCCTGTCTTTGTCATCTTTGCTGACGGAGGGGTGGGAATAGGTGTAATGATCAGATGATCGGTGCTTCTTGCAGCAGCCGGAAGTTACAGAAACGTCTGTTTCTCCCGGGCTCATAACTCTCACGAAGAGAGCAGGGCAAGGGGCATAATGTTTTTAGGGTGCATGTGTTCTCCTTCTTCTTCCTCCCTGTCTGCTGTACCATTCTCCCATTTATGCCCATTGCCCTCTCTTCTTCAGTCTTCCATCTCCTTCCTTGCTGACTTACTACCCGTGCCACGCCCCACCTTTATTTGGAACTCGCGAGCTCGCACCACCTAAAGGTGGTGCTCACCACCAACATACCCACACCACCACAATACCCAGAATTTCGACCGTCCGACTTCAGCATCCCTACATCTCAACCAATTCGCGGTCTCGTCGCTAGCTGAAATGGAAGCACGTACACAGGCCGCTCTTAGACACATTGAAAATTTTCCTGGTGCCAAAGTCGCAACTGTGGCGCGAGAATTCGGTGTAACACGTGATCGATTGCGATGCCGTCTTCAAGGCCGACCTCCTAAAATTGGTCAGCGAGCCAGGAACACGAGGCTTTCGCAACCAGAAGAGAAGGCCCTGTGTCGCTATATCGATCGTTTGGATAATGTGAACCTTGCGGTACGCGTTGAGTTCGTCACTGACGCGGCAAACTGCATCTTGCGTGAGCGGTCTGGCCAGAGTGGCGCTCCTACCGTGGGGCTAAACTGGACTTCTCGCTTCTTGAAACGCCACGGCTACTTCAAAAAGCGCCAAAAGAAGCTTCATGCAGAGCGCCAAGTCTCTGAGGATATTACACGAGTTAACGAGTATTTCCAGCGTCTTCAGCAGGTCGTGGAAGACAATGGTATACCTGCCGAGGACATCTGGAATATGGACGAGACTGGTTTTCGCATCGGGGTTGGCAAAGACCAGCTGATTGTGACAAAACGGAAGAGAGCTCATTATTTTGGCATTCCTGAGAATCGGGAATCTGCTACTGCGATCGAAGCTATCTCGGCGAATGGGGAGGTTGTTCCGGCATTTTTGATACTCGCTGGCCAGATGCACATGGCTTCATGGTATCAAATACCTGAGCTGGCTCCTGACACAGTTATTCGACCCACACCTACTGGTTACTCAAACGACGTGATCAGCCTGGAGTGGCTCCAGCATTTTGACAAGCACTCGGAAAAAACCTCAAGAAGCTCGAAGCGTCTTCTAATTCTCGATGGTCATGGTTCTCACCATACCAGGCAGTTCATTGAATACTGCGACAACCACGATATTATTCCCTTCGGCATGCCACCGAATCTCACGCATATACTTCAGCCGTTGGACGTTGTGGTTTTCCAGCCACTAAAGCATTATCACGCCAAGGCCTTAGATGTCATGGTTCGAGATGGCCTCATCAACATAACCAAGCTTGAGTTTCTCTCCTGCATTCAACAAGTACGATTGCAAGCTTTCAAGGAGAGTACTATACGCTCTGCATTTCGAAAGACAGGAATCTTTCCATTCAATCCACAAGTCGTACTTCAATGTTTGGAAGCTCGTCAAGCCAAGACACCCACACCTCCTCCCAATTGAGGACCACACTCTTCACCTTTCGAGACACCATTGACTCTACGACAAATAAACAAGGTAGCGGACAAATTAGAGATGGTCCTTGAAGACGATGAAAGCCTGGATCCCGACTTTTCTCACGATCTCAGTCGATTTATTCGGGGATCGCTATCTCTGGCTACAGAGCTCGTGCAGACAAAAAGGGACTTGGGACGAACCAAAATGGCGGAGCGGATCCAAAAACAACGTAAGGCTATGAAGAATATAAAGTTACAATCAGGAGGAGTGTTATCGGTAGCCCAAGGACGGGAAATGGTGCAACAAAGGGAAGATGATCAGATTGCTAGAGCAAGGAAGGTAGTTGAAGGCGCGGAGAAAAAAGGCGCATAACGCACGCAAGCGATGGTTTGAGGAAGCAGCAAAAAAGGCACGGCAATGGAGGGCTTCAGGGAGGTTAGAACGAGTGGAAGTATGCGATTCTGAGCGTGGTACGCGGTGGTTGAAGCGATTCTAGGTCGGGGAGTCGAAATTCTGGGTATTGTGGTGGTGTGGGTATGTTGGTGGTGAGCACCACCTTTAGGTGGTGCGAGCTCGCGAGTTCCAAATAAAGGTGGGGCGTGGCACGGGTAATGCATAGGCACCCTCTCTCCGCGTCAGCGTGCCACGTCATCCCACTTTCATCTTGTCTCGTTCCTACACCTTCAGCTAGCTATCAGGCTTCAGGACCAAGTCTTAGACCCTTCTTCTCGACAGATTCGAGACGGCCTTGTCAATATCACGAAGCTCGAGTTTCTTTCTTGCATTCAACAAGTACGGTCGCAAGCCTTCAAATCAAGTACGATTCAATCCGCGTTCCGGAAAACGGGAATATGGCCTCTCAATCCGCAAGTGGTGCTGGAGATATTGCAAGCTCGTCAGATGCAAAGGACGCCCACTCCTCCCCCTCGTCCAGAACTATTTTCTTCACCATTCGAGACGCCATTAACTCTTCGGCAAATAAATAAAGTAGCAGATCGGCTAGAAACCGTATTGCAAGAGGATGAAGATCTAAATCCCGAGTTTTCTCGCGATTTGGGTCGCTTTATTCGGGGTTCCCTATCTTTGGCCACCGAATTGGTGCAGACCAAAAGGGATCTGGGAAGGACAAAATTAGCTGAACGTACCCAACAACAACGAAAAAGTGTGAAGAACGCGCAAATGCAATCGGGGGGAGTCTTGACGGTCGCTCAAGGGCGAGAAATGGTGCAGAAAAGGGAAGAAGACCAGGTCGCCAAAGCTAGAAAGGTGGTCGAGGCCGCAGAGATGAAGGCACGCAACGTGCGCAGGCGGTGGTTTGAAGACGCAGCAAAAGGCACGTCAATGGAGAGCATCTGGAAGGCTGCGACGAGCGGAAATTTGTGATTCTGAGCGCGGAACGCGATGGTTGAAGCGATTCTAGTTGGAAGAGTCAATAATCTGGCTATTGCGGTGTACTGGCTACTGCGGTGTCCAGCACCAGCTTATGGAGCTGGTGAGGAACGAACGCGAAATAAATGGGGCGTGGCACGGGTAGCCCATCCTGCCTTACCAAATGGGGAACACAGCCTCTAGGGGCCTGGGTCATCCCTAGCGGGGGCGCTCCCGTCATTTACCGCCGCCTCAAGCACCCGTGTGGGCGACATCACACGCATGCCCGTCACGTCATCAACGGCGGCATGCGGACGACCTCGCCTGATGGTCGAAAATTCCTCGGGCCGCCTGCGCAGCGCGTTAGCCACGCAACCAACACCTCAACAACGCCGCAAACTCTCAACGTCACTGAGTCCAACCCCTATGATATCCACCAACCACGATAGGAGACAAGATGCTCAACATTGAAAGACATATGCGCAGACAGGATGGAAGAATACGCGTTTTCATCCCGGGCTTCGGCTATAGGGGTTTTCCTGTATTGGTAACGAATAGAGGCTCTAGGGCTATGGCCGGCTAGTGTAATAAACTACTACTACTACTACCATGATGGAAAGAGGTCCCTTATCCAACCTCACTATTAGTTCGCACCTAGATCGTTAAACCGTTTCACGACATGTCCCAGATATGCCACTCAGCGGTTTGGGTGCCAATGGAAATTACATTTGGCCGATGCGAACGCCGCCGACAAGGAAGGTCCCACTCTTCTCATCAAGTCATCCCAGTAATAAATAAGTAACATGAATTTGCTGTGTTTAAATGTGTAAACACAGCCGGCCTAGTTCTGGTCCTGCTGGTAAGCCTTGGTGATGTCACACACCCTGGCCCAAGCATCCTTCTTGACCTCTTCGATGCTGCGGTCGGCGTCGATGCTAATGACGTCCGTCTCGTCTTCAGCCGGCCGCTCGATGATTTTGAATTGGCTGTGAACCATGTTGGAACCCATGTAGTGACCCTGTCGCTTCGTGACCCGCTGGAGCAGCGCCTCTACGGGCGCGTTGAGGAAGATGAAGTGAACGAGGATTTCGTGGTCGTAGTAGGCGGCGACTCGAATCACATCTCGATACTTGCGTTTCAGGGCTGAGCAAGTCATTATGACACCATCAGACCCACGATCGATTTGACGCATAGACTCGTCGCGGAGGGCGGTGAGCCAGTCCCAGCGGTCTGCGTCTGTAAGCGGAGTGCCGCTGCGCATCTTATCTAAGTTCTCTCCAGTGTGGTGCTTCGTCGTCCATTTGTATTAGTCTATTCGTCGCCCTCAAGCAACTCGCAGGACCTCAGCAAGTTCGTACCGCATCGCCTTCAATGTAGGGCATGTCGAGCGCATCAGCCAGGTACTCGGCCACTGTCGTTTTACCGCACCCGGCTGGGCCGTTTACCAACCAGATGTGGTAATGTTTCCCCGCCCGATCATTCGTATGTGCCGTGTCGTCGATGGTCGTCGGCGGCGAAGCCTTGGACGAGGCCCCTTCGAAGGGAGTCGCAGATGCCGTGGTGTCGACGATGACCTGCTCGTTGACAGGCACGGCCTTATCGTACAAGAACATTTCTCCAGTAGCAGAACTACACCAAGACATGGATCGCTATGTTTGGGCTTGGCTCTAATGCTTGGTCGGGAAGAAGGTGAGAAGGTCGTCTTTCGAGCAATTGGGAGTGAGTCGAATGGAAGAAATGACGTTTCCGGACTTGTCGTGACAAGACTAAGAGGGGCAAAGCAAAGGACACGATGTCCTGGCTTGGTAATGCGCCCAGGCTCATGGTGGACCAAGCTCACTCGCTAATCGGTAAGCTATCAAAACCCGCATGCGATGGATGGCTGTTGTTTTGCATTGTCCCCAGTTTTTGGCGACGAGATGCCGCTATACAGTACCTCAGGGGCTTACAGAGAGGTACTGGCCAAGGATGTGTGGGCCGGAGCCCGCTCCGAAAGTCTGCGATGGGCTACCCAAAAAAGTGTGTGCAGCTCTTTGGCATCAACTTTGACGTCACTATTACGATATGTGAAGCAGCAAATGCAATTTCGGCACCCATGGGTCGCGTTCGGCTACAGGTTCGTTCAGCTCCCAGGCGGAGCCGGCCGTCGTAGCGCTCTTAATTTGTCGGTCGTACTACTTCGTCAAGATTGCGTAGGTCAGATGTAGGCATGCATGCAGTGTAAGAGGATTAAATAGAATCTGCCACACTATACCTGCATAAAGCTACGCGGAGAGAATCCGGAGTCCTCGGTCCGCAGTACCCGCACGCGGCCAGCAGCGAACCTGCAGTCGTCGAGGTTGCGATAATTTGAAGCATTTTCTAGCCTTGACACACTGAAGCTACAGCGTTCCTTAGCGGATGCATACCCTGTTACAGGCCACTGTCGCTAACCGTAGCGACCCAGCCCCTGCAGGACGCGCTGGGGCACTTTGGCCGTCAAGGCCCTCGTCATTCTATCAGACGGGTGTTCAAATTTCCTGTGCCATCGATTTTTCGCTACCACCGACGTCAACTTGCCTCGACGTACGTCTGCGTCCCTCTTTCGCCTTGCCTGCCCTTTCGGATGGCCTTGAACAATTTGTCCAAAGAGCTGGGTCCACGTTCTTCGTCCATTTGCCTCGCCACGATATCTTCAGTTAAGCCGCCCAACTGGACCCGCCTCCGAACCTCATCGACGATGATCTTGCGCGTGGAAAAGTAATTCTTCTCTGCAGATGGCCGCCATCGAGAACCCCAGTCGCGCTCAAGAGAATCCACAGAAGGCATTTCGCCCCAGCCCTGCCGCCAGAGACGCAGCAGCTCCTGTACAGATTTGACAGAACGGGGGAGCTTGAAGCTCGGAGGTTCGCGCGGCCCAGGCGGCTCGCCATGCGCTCCCCCCTGGGCTTGCCCCTGGCCCGCTTACACCATTTCCTGCTGCTGCTCTAGAGGGAGCGGAGCGTATGTCGGACCGACCGCCTGCGAAGGGTCTATCTCGGACCCGAGGACCGCCTCTCGTGGAGCGCGGCGCCTCTCTTGATGAGCTCCTGCGACCTCCGCACGTTGACCTGCAGCACTTTGGCCAGGGCTGAAAGTGACGGTGTAGGTCGCCTGCGCAAACTCATGCAACTTGGTACATAATTCGTAAGAAGCCCCCAAAAGGTCTAGATGTCTTCGCTCGGCTAACTGCTCGGCTGTGACCTGTTGAGTCAGTACTGTGCGCAGCTTCTCCGCTACCGACGGGATCGCTTTTTGAATGATTGTGTATGGCTGTCTTCGTGGTCCCGTGTGCACGTGTGAACTTTGCTGGCGAACGCTTCAAACTCGGGGCAAGAGAAGACCGGATCCTGGAAGATAGGATGGTCAGGGTAGGACTCGCGAAAGAAGACCGCGTCCTGCAGGAGCACCTCTCGAAGCCACTCCAGGAGTTCCAAGAAGGCGCCGGCGGCCATGTTCTGTTCCACCCCGAGATCTAAGAACGGGCTACTGTGGGCCTCTTTCCATTTGTCGAGTTGAGGCCAAACCTGCACGAGTAGCACCACAGGCGGCCTTACGGTGGCCCGGGGTACGAAATAATACCTCCGAGTCTTCGTCGAACACGCTCTCAAGCTCCGATTCTTCGCCAAGGATTTCCTGGTTGATTTTCTGGTCTTCTGGTATCTCAACGCGCTGAATAAGCTCATTGATGGTAGGAAGCAGCGGCGGCTGCTCGAATTTCCCATCAAAATAGGTAAATTCGTCAAAAATAACATCCCTTGTCGAAATAACCTTTCTTCGTTGCGGAATCCAGATCCGGAAGATATTCGTCGAATTGTATCCAACCAGGTATCCTATATGTGACCGTGGATCAAGCTTCTGCCTCTTTTTCTTGCCTAGCTGTGCGTTAGAAGTCATGGCATAGGCTCTGCAGCCGTACGCCTTGAGCTGGGCATGCTGTTGAGGCCGATCCTTCTTCGTAAAGAGCTCAAGAGGTGTTTTCCAGTCTTCCGACGAATTCGGAGTTGAGTTTGTAGCCCTAGGGGCTCGAGGGGTTCGATTCCGTAGATAGCAGGATGCTTCCACGGTTTCTTTCCAAAGGTCGTGAGGAAGGCCTGCTACGATCCTCATCTTGCGAGCTCTTTCTGGGCCTGTGTGTTCGAGGCCGATTTCTCCGCTGAAATTCCCTTCTTTCGTAGCCACTTCTTGATCTTATTAGTGAATAGCTCTCCGTCAGACCGTACGATTTTCACCGTGTAGTCAAACCGAAGCTTCATCCAGCTAACGAAATCTCGAAGTGCGGCTAGGTGATGCTTTGACTGATAGGTCTTAAGAAAATAGGGGAAAACCATGCCCGAATATGCGTCTGTGATGAACATCACACGGACATAGCCCTCGAAATCAGGGGTAAGCTCGGTCCAGTCGATCCAAATCTCTTGGCAGGGCTCTGTGAAGGTATCCCAGTAGATTCCCTCGTCACGAAGAGACTGAAAAGATACCAGGCTTGCCGCGAATTTCGGACAATAAGCAACATTCTTTAATCGTAAAGCCCGTAATGACCCGTCTGGGGCCGTGACCGTAACGTTGACTCTGCCGTAACCTTCGATCCGGACTTCTGAATCCCCTGTTACTAGGTATTCATTTCTTGCTTTTCTAAAAGACCGGAATTTCGATAGGCTATTGCAAATATGTAGGGAGGCGGCAGAGTCTAGCAGGGTCGACTTTCGAAGAGGGTAGTTGGTAGAGGCGGTCGTTTGGCTGACTTTGAAGACAAAAGCGGGGTCTGCGTGCCCAACGACTCTCCCGACTATCCGTACCTTCGGTAGTTGCTAGGCCTCCTTTTCGTAACGAATCTTTTCCACCTTCTTTCTTAAATCTAAACTGTTTTCCAGGGCCTGTTGTGCTTTCTTCGTAAGGTCTTCATTCTTTGCGCACCAATCAGGTCGGTCTTCTTCAAAAATTGACCAACAGTTCGGTAAATCATGACCCTTAAGTGTGCAGGCGGGGCATCGTTTTTTATCGGTTTTCTCAGTGTTTTTGTTAGAGTCAGGTTTCTTCCCCTTTCTCTTCTTTTTCGGTCTTTCTTCAGAAGGGTCGTTTTCATCAACTTCCTTATCTGCTAGAAAGCCGGCACCTCTTTTAATTCCTCCTTTTTGATGATGCGGTTGTTGCTCTGCAATTTCTCTGATTTTTCTAGCAACAAGCTGGAAGGTCCAGTGGATCGAAGAAGGTGGTACTGCTGCTAACGTAGGCGTGCTTCCTAAAGAGTTCGGTCGAAGGGCTTGATAGACCCTGTGTTGAGCAGTAGCTGCTTCTTCATCAATTCTTCGGCTATCTTCGTAGAAGATAGTAGCGTATCCGTCACTCAGGGGTCGGATAACACCAGCTATATCTCGTAGCCACTGGCCTGTTAGCGCCTCAGTCATGAAGTAAAGGTCAGCTTCTTCTATGATCTCTTCCCACTTAGTCAGCCAGTCTAGTAGGTTAGTCTTAGTACTAGTACGAAGGTGACTAGAATACTGCTTCCTAATTCGGTCAGTCATAAAGCCGCGTGAAGGAGCGGTCGATGCTTCTAGCTTCTGCAGCCACTGTCTAAGCGTATCCCCTTCTCGAAGGGAGGTGAGTTTAGCAGTGCTAATAGACTCCGTAATAGCTGTCCTGGCTGCCGTGATTAGCTTAGTCTCGTAAAGGTATTCCTTACGCCTGCCCTCATATTCACTGAGTGCCGCAGAGTAAGCTCTTTGCTGAACGTTAGTTAGGTTAACGAATTGTCTGACGCCTTCTCCAAAGTCATCAAAAGTCGGGCGTATAGGTAGCTCCATGGGCTCGGAGCCATCTTCAAAAACAAGCTTATGAACAAGCTTATCTACTCGTGCTCGTAACTCCTTGACCCAACGGTCCCAGTCCTGGGGCTCCGTCAGAATCGTCCGCTTCGTCGTCGCCATGGCCGAGGTCTTCGACATCTTTAACAGCCGTGGACGGGCCGAATAGGTGGCGAGGATAAGCCGAGGTGGTGTGAAGCGTGCGGGGAAGAGGGGTTCTTTCTCAAGGTTGCAGTCTTGCCACCGGAAGTTACAGAAACAAGTCTGTTTCTCCCGGGCTCATAACTGTCGCGAAGGAGAGTGCAAAAGTGGGCATAAACGTGGATAATGGGACTTTTCGAGGGTCGAGTATCATACGATCAGAGGGTGTGTGTAACGCATGTGTTGATTCCTCTCCTCCGTTGCCCATTATCCGTCCAACCCTCCCTTTTTATATCCCTCAATGCCTCCCTAAGTTAATATCCCGTTTTCAGGTATAGTATACATTCTATCAGGAAGAGGGCACTTCTTGCCTCTTACTGAAGGCCACGTAAGTCATCTACGTCAGCACATTCAGCTCCATCTCCCCGATCAACAGCTTTCCGAGCTATAGGTCGATAGTTCAGTCTCGTGAGGTCCCCGAGCCAGTAAAAGAGATACCGGACTCCTTGGGAGATCCCGTTCGAATAGGAGATGCTCCGGACCCCGCAGTGGACCACAAACCTCCCTCCTTACCTGGCTTCGAGCTGTATTACCTAGAGAAACCTAGAGGCCTCACTTCGTTCGGACCTTCTTCTCGACATCAATGATGCAGGAATATACGACATAATCTGACACGAAGTCGATTGCATATGGACAAACTGGCTATGTCCGTACTCTCGACGAACTTCTGTGTCCTCTATCGCTACCATCGGTGGTTTGGAGCACCAGGACCCAATACAACGACGCGAGCCCTGTATCAAAACACGGTGGCAAATAACAGTAACTACAGACGCTCTATTTCAGCGTCGTAAAGCATTAACTGCCCGGTCGATTATCCTGTGCCGGGCCTTGCCGCCAAAGACAGTAGCATCAGAGATGCTAGGAATACCAATCGGCTAATTGCTCCAAACCATTGCAAACCATGTCCACGATTCGTTGGCAGTCGTTCTGGCCGAGATTGATGAGACTGCCTGCAGTACGCTATATTCTTCTTGAAGTCACCATGATTATGATCGCAGTGTTTAAGTGAAAAACCATCGGTGCGGTTCACCAGTTCTCGATACGAAACTGATTCGGGCACCAGACGACTGCATCAATAAAAGGTAGACGAGAAGAACAATATTGGTCCGAAAACGACGATCTTCGCCTCGACAGAAGAATCTGGCTTGACGCAGTGATATGTAAAGGCGCCTCTTGGAAAACCGAAAAGTTGAATAAGCTGTAGCTATGAGTGTACAATTATAGGGAGTGTATTGATGTTAGCTCTTATAAGACTTCCTAACAAGCTACTTTGCCAATGAAGCCCGGGGAAACGACTCAGTACTAAAATCACAGTGCTGACGTCTCCTGCCGAGCCGCCGCGTCTTCAAGAACATTAGCTGATCCATGTGACGAGAGGGCAAAGCCCGTTCTACTTCAAGTAAGATCCCTGTTCTATATGTAACAGAACCAGCACTTACGATGCCCCCTGCACTGCGTTCTCCCCAGCGGTAAACCCGTCGGCGTCGGCTGTAAGGCGCACACAACTAGACAGAGAGTGAGGAACGGGGTCAATCATTCAATTCATTGATCTCTGACGAGCTCCATCAGGGGCTATGCAACCCTACTTTTATAACCACGAGATGCCTCCCAGCCCTGTACTTTTCCCTGAGAAGTCACTCCAGCCAGTGGTTGGAATCAACCAGCCATCTACATGGGTCAAGCACTTTAGGCGCGTGAAAGGCTAGCCTTGCCGTCAAGTGAGTGACCTGGAGCGCCAGTAACCTAATGAAGCGTTCCCTATGGATTGAGTTAGAAATCGACAGACACACACACTCTGCGAGGATCGTGGGATCATGGTACGTACAAATTCTGGATTCGGGTGTCTCTATCGCCAATCATCAGCACCCAGTGTACTCACTTCGGCGATGAGACATACCCCTCTTGCCACCCATTATATTGCCCTGCCCATTGTTCCTTCGGTCTAGTCGTAGCTAGTTAGTCTCGTACCTCGCCTTCTCGGAAGGTCGACGCACATTTCGACGCTGAACTGCGCACCGCCGTCTGCGAGGCCCTGGTAGGCTCTATTGGGAGAGACAGAGCTGCAATCGATGTTAGCAGTTGCAGCTGGTATCAGTAGAGGTAGCAAACCTTGAGCCTATGGGGCCTCCGTAGGCCACCCTACTGAGGGCAGCGAGGATATCCGAGGAACGCCGGTCGTGGTCCCGCGTATGCGGCATAGAACGTGGTGGATGGCCAGGCCAGCCGTGGGAAGCACTTGCGGAGCCGGGAAGGTCGATTGGTGGGAACCCATCTTGGTCTAGGTGAGATCTCTGGGGGACAAAATGTTGGACTTGGTCGCTTTTGCGTTTCTGGCCCTGGCGGTTCGACCGTAGCCGTCCAATCGCAGCGCCTTGCTGAGGATAAAACATGGCCGACACAGGGCACGGAGTAATGCTCAAGGAAGATAGCACAGAGTCCTGACACCAGAGAGAGGATTGAACAGCCTGCGCGCACAGCTAACCGCTCCGACCTCCCTTTTATAGCCATGTTTGTCCCCACAGCGCGGTTCCGAAGAATGACACCCTTCGCCGTCGGAGAAGACATGCAGACGGCCCTGCGCCCGCACTTTGTTATATCCCCTCTGCGATGTTGTCTCGCGAACAGCCCCCAGGCTTTGGAAATCCTGCGCGACTGCCACTGCTTCGAGCATGGGATCATGGGAACGCTCTATTGCCTAGGCTTATATCACTGCTTCGTTACTTATATGCGTTAATTCCACGCATCACAATGACGCTCCAGCAAGTGAAGGCTCGCAGCATCCATCCAAAATGCCTACATGTAGGTCAGGGGCGGTTGTCTGATTCGATTCAAGGAGATAGACTGGACCATCGACCCCTTGGAGAATAACAATAAGTTACCTACGCGTATACATTGCCCAACTTCCGCGTCTTCCCATCCATCTACGAGCTACTGTGTATCATACCGCGTCATTATGTCTTCTAGTAGGGATACCAGCCCCGTGTCGTCTGTACCGCAGTCATTTGCATCCCGCCCACACCCCACCCCACCCCAGTTAATGACAGTCATGAGGCTACTCCTGCCACGTCCAAGGCCAGAGCAGACGAGACAGATGCTTCACAATGGGAATTTGGCATTGATTGGGAGAATATCTGGCACGGCGGCAAACGACTTTTGGGTGCCAAAATGAGACTTCGTAACAAAAGGGTCGTCGGTACAAAGATCAAAGAGATGTGGATCTACAGATACGGCGCGAATTTGGAGCATAGCGGAGTACTTTACTGGCTTTGCAGAATCTGCCACGGGAAGAAGAACTGAACTATTCGGCAGAGAGCTTGAAATTCGGCTACTTCCGGAGCATCACACCACGATCTGCTCATGGATTCGTCAAGTCGTCGCGTCCGGTCTCGGCTGGTACTTTTTCTCTTCCTGCAGGCCGCTATTGACATGAAACCTAGAACGCAAGGGCGAGACCGTGACGACTAGCAAAAGTGCTGCCACGCACTAGCGAGAATGGCCTGACAGCCTGATTTACTACATAAAGGTCTGATTATTTATCGCAAGTCCCCTAGACCTGTACACTAGAATGCAGAGCAACCCCCGGTGGGTCACCTCATTCGTTACGCCGGGCGACCAAGTTCTGCGGAGCAAGAGAAGAAAGCCGGTTAGACATAGAAGCGGCGTATATGCCGAATGCGGGCTCCGTGAGTTACTACGGGAAGAACGGCTGCGTAAACGGGATGTCTTTGTCCAGGTCCATCAGTCTGCCATTACGGGCGAATCGCTTGCCCCAGGCTAGGCGCCTGCTCGTCGATAACATTACCCTCAGCACCGTCACTCCAACGTAGCAGCAGGCCACGCCAGTGTTGCCCTCAACATCGGTTTAGAAGGGACTCACAAACCTCGCAAAATCAGGACGCACGGCCAGCATACTTGTATAGCTTTTCCTTCGGTGAGCTACTTGCTACCTGCACTGTTGGCCTGACGAGTGCCGCATGATGGTGCAGAGGCACGATCCAATCATGGGTGCATGCAGGCCACCACCAACACCACCGCTTGGCATGGTCTGGAGCATCGCCCGCGTCAGGTGCATGGCATCTGTTGTCCGCACCTGCGGACTGGAAAGGATGAGACAACGATCTATTGATGCCTGCCTGTCTAGCTACAGATGTGATGATGATCCGGGTCTATATAGACTCAGGCGATGGAGTCGCCGTATCCATGGAACCTTCTAGATCCGGCTGGAGTCCTCCAACAGCATCACATGTTTAGATTGCATAGCAGCCGCCTTTCCCAGGTCACCAGAAATCGGAGTTTTGATTCCGTAGCCGATGCAGTCCAATGTCAGCCAGCTTTGCCTGGTCTTATCATTTGTCCAAGGGGTGATGCCTCTCGGCCCCCCCCAGAAAAGCTATTTGTCCAACTGCCCAGTAAGCATCTCAGCTTTGCATTGGACCAGAAGGATTTGGAGACTCTTGTCGGCTTCGGATGGTCAGTTGACGGTATGCGCTCCGCTCATAAAGCATGATTTACACAATGGGCAGATGCTATGTTGCTTCAGGAACCATTTCTGTATACACTCCGCGTGGAATATATGACCACAACATAGCTGTCGGATCACGTCGACGTCTTGTAAATTTTCCAAGCAAATGGCACTGCGCGATTCGTTTTTGGCATATCAGCCTGGCTGCTTGACCCCGAAAAAAGGGCGGTTTAACTCACCAGACGATGGTGCTTGTATAATAGCGAGGTGGATTGGCAAAGTCTTGGATGTCGCTTTTCAATTTTCCATATGTTTTGGTGGATGCGACTGCATCAAGTTTCTTGATGTCCCTTGGCGCCCCCACAGCCTCTGCATCGTCGTCGGCGTCTTGCTGCGTAGTCGGGCTACCTATGCAATACCTGCCTGGACATCAACACCTACCGCCACAGCGGATCAAACTGCGAAATTACTGAGCCCGATGGAGGACAAACACACCGTAGAATCAAGAACAAAGCCACCAGCGACACGACGAGGGCCCCAGTGCCGATTATTATGAACCTAGGAAGCGCCGATGAAGGGTTGTCCTCAGCAGAAGTGGATGAGTTGGTAGCCATTTGAGGAGGTGGTGGACTGATTTTTCGGGTCTTTAGACCAAAGCTTTTTTTGTTGCGACTATTCAGTCATGACAGTGAATGCTCACCTTGCTGTCACCCGCCATCATCACAGTCAAACCTTCTTCTGCAGCCTAGGCCCCTAGCGCGATCGACATTTGGATGTTGATCGACTTGCAAGTGGATTATGGCTGCCGCATGGAAGCACTGGGTCTGCGGGGCTAAATAACCTAACACTTGTCATTATATGGCTGTGCCCGACGTTCACGAATTTTTGATCTTTGTCAGCTGCCAGCACAGCATCCGCTTGCTGCAAGAGAATGTTCCCGACCATTTTATCATCGAGGTTTCAAATTAACTGTGCAACGTCACACTGGGCGGATCGGTACATAGGAGACGTTTCAATGGAGTAATCAAACATGCACTCCTGATTTTCAAACATGCACTCCGACTTAAACCCCATTTGGAAGAGAGCCCCACCAAAATTTGGCGCGGCGCGTTCCCAACGCCGTGGCCGCCGCGGCTGCCGCCCGGTCGCATTCAATCAGCATTTAATTATCACCAACGCTGGAAGCTGCGTTCCTTGGAGTCGTTCAAATATATCAATACGCCCGGCCCGACCTATTTTCCGATATATATACAATGTGCACACCTTTGACTACCGCCCGTGAGATCAATCAACGCCGTGACTATGACTGTGACGGTGCCGGAGGATCCGTAGGATCCGTCTGATCCGTCTGACGCGGCGGAGGACGAGGCACGTAAGGGACGAACGTATGCCCGGCCTGCCTACCAAAATTGTATGGCGCCGTGTCCCCTCTGATCCCCTGGCTGTCGGGCAGGCTCCCTTGCCGTCCCTTGCGACTGTACCGGCGGCTGTGCCCACAGGCAGCTATCGTGATGTCCCTGTGCCGAGGGGGGCGGCCCCTGCTGCCACTGTGAGGGCGTAGGTGGCATCGGGTAGACGTACGATGCCGCCGGCGGCGCCTGTGTGTATACAGGCACATGTGTTGTAGGCGGTGGCATTACGTAGTACCCCCTGTGAGCCCGGCGGCGCCTGTGGAAGTGAGGGCATCGTCTGTTTGTATTCATGTTGCGATCGGTCGAATTCATCGTGACGGTTGTGCGGTAGGCGGCGGCGGCGGTGGCGGCGTTGGTGTGGTGTGCTGAATAGTTGGTGATAGCTTCAAAACGATGGCTTCAAAACGAACGAACGTGTGTGCAGAGGTGGCCTCGGGCGCCGGCGGCAAGCCGCGGCGGCCACGGCGTTGGGAACGCGCCGCGCCAAATTTTGGTGGGGCTCTCTTCCAAATGGGGTTTAAGTCGGAGTGCATGTTTGAAAATCAGGAGTGCATGTTTGATTACTCGTTTCAATGTTTTCGGTCGATGAAAACTAGGCTAGCGCGAAGGCAGGGCTGGACTATACAGAGGCAGCAATTACCCGAAAGAGTTTAGACCAAATGTACTGCGTTAGGCCGTTCGCGGTATCAGCTGGGCTAATGATTCCTTGTGATACTCTTGTCTTTGGCCCTCGAATTCACGTATTGGCCCCTAGTCTCCCGTTGGTTGGATATGCCGGAGTCAACTCCATGCAATTCCCGATCGTGCATGCAGCTTATTTAGTTTGCATAACGGACTTCGTGTGTGCCGCGCCCCATATTTATTTGGAACTCCCGAAAAAATGCTAGTTCTGCGCTAGGTAAGACGTGCAGTCTGACATCACAATTACGGATAGAAGCTTCAAGGCTATGGCAAGACCTTAACCAACAACAACTCGAACGGGACGCTGGCAATGCAAGTTTTGGCTCCTAGTCATTTTTCTCACAAACGGCTTCGAGACCCGCGTCTCCCACCGTCTCTTCCCCTTCTTCTTATCTTTGATTTGGCACTATCCTGGCGACGTCGCGACGACGTGTTAACTGTTAACCCAGCTTCTGGTTGCACAGCACCCATGCAACGAGTGCGCAACGCAACCACGGCACTGGATCACCCGGAATACAACCAACCAACGCAACTCAGTCCATCGCTAGAACAGGCGAGACCAATTTTGACAGAAACCTTAATACGAAATACCTCGACTTATTGAGACTCGAGCATTTCGACCGTAGGTGATGCGCTAGTTGTATGCTATTGGCTTCGACTTTTATCATCGCTGTCGCCAGCCCAGCATATGCCCAACCTCGATCTGACAGGAATCCGAAATACCGGCGTTAATTCCCATTTCCCAGTCTTTTGAAAATTGAAGCTGGGCCCCGCAATGGCAGGTCTTCCGGCCCGGCGGCCCCACCAACGGCCTCCGATGCCACGGCACCAGCTCCCCATCCTGACTGGCATGAACGGGCTTCCAGGCTTGAACGATTGAAGTTGCTCCGACGCGAACCAAGAGTAGGTGCGCACAGCCCCATACGTCAGTGTACTGCCTAACGAGTTGTACAGTGTACTCGAGTGGGGCCAGCACTCACGAGTATTCCGAGCATCCAGTCGCTGGGTCCAGGGTCGTCTTGGACTGCGAGGGCGGCGGTGTTCCCTCTTACTCTCCCAGTACTTTCGTCAATTTCGGAGGCATCGGACGAGGAGGCCGCGGTGGGAGGTCATACGGCCGCAGCAGGTCGGAATGAGTAAGGGCCACTCTGGGTGATAAATGGGTGAACAACAATAGTGCAACGAGCGGATATCCGGACAATAGGTCCATGTATTTCACGTTTTGGGTTTCGAATCGTCGCATAACGTGTACAATAGGCTAGCCCTCTATTCTCGCGAGGAGAGTACGTATTGTCGCTGAAGTGCGCCCGGGAAGGACGCTGTTTGGCGACGCAAGTTTTGATCCCTGGCCATTTTCTCGCAAGCGTCTCCGAGACCCCACGTCTCCCACCTCAGCACTCGCAGGGAGGGCCCGCAAACGCACAGCGCTCGTGTTTGTAGGCGGTCTGCCTAGTCCCGCCTCTGCCCGCGAGCCGGACCAGGCAGAAGGCGCTAGCGCCCTGTGCGCTCTTGGCGCGTTCGCCAGATGCCTGCTTGGAATCATCAACCTCTCTGCTTCCACGCCCCATCGAGGCCCACGATTAGCAGCAGAGCCAACCAAGACTGCCCGTCGTGTCCCGGCACCGGCCTAGCCGGTCAAAGAAGTGGTGGGGTATAATGGCCGGCCTCTTGTAAACACATTTCGGGGCCCATCGAATCTTCGGCCTGCCACGTTGAGGCGGCCCGCGCCTTGGCCCCTCCACTGCGTCCTGTGCCGGCTTCGTTGCCTTGAACGGCAACGGCGTCTGTACCAATCCGCCCCGTGATCCAGTGCCGGTGGGCACCCGCGGTGGCAATTGCGCTTTGCCATAAGCTTCCGCCACAGCCCTCGTTTCGTCCTGAAAAGATGTGTTCCACTGTGCCACGCCGTACGGTGCGACGACGACGACGACGGCGTGGTGTTTCCGCGTTGTCGAGAATGAGCAGCCAGCACGGGTCCGTCTCGATTCGCTCGCGTACGGCCGTCAGCAGCTCCTACCCATCCAGACTGCCCGCCAGGCCCAGCCTCTTCGCAATAACCTTGTAGTCCTGCGTAAATGTCGTCTCATTGTCGGTGTGGACCCAGAACACTGAGCAGGCCGGGTCGCGGCTCCGGCGGTAGGCATACTCGAGAGCGATCTGTGTTTTGCTATTTTGGTCGGCAGACGCAGTCTAACCTGGCGGCAGACTTACCCAGAGCCGCAGAAGGCCCGAGAGCCAGAAATCAACTTGAATCTATATTGCAGCATGTTGGCTTCACCGACAATGCGCTCCGCTCAGTAAACAGGCGATGAGATCAGGTTATGTATTCAGCGCGGCGGCTTCAACCGTCCGCAGCTAGGCATCCACTCAAGACCACACCGCCAGTCGTGTGAAGGGAAGCATCGCAGCTACTGACACCGGACACCACGTGAAGGTCTGCTGCTTCGTCCTGCTGCTTTGCGAGGCAGCATCCGGTGTGCTCACCGGAGGCTAGGGTCTAAGCACCAGCAGGGCATGAAAGCTCCTGGCAGGTATAAACCCTCGCAGAAGGGCATTAGCTCCGGCAGGGCATGGCAGCTCTCCGCAGGGCATGAGCTCCTGGACTGCGGTAATGGCCGAAGCACTTATGGGCTCTCGCAAGGTGCAGAGGCACCTCGCAGGAAACGAGTTCTGGACAGTCGTGAGAGCCGAAGCGCCTTTAGCTCCATCAAGGTGCAGAGGCACCTCGGGACACGAGCTAACGGTAGGTGGGCAATGGATGGCCATGAAGCGGTATAATCCACTTGGCTACTGGGAAAGCCCCCTGAAGCGGTTAGAAGCCACGTATAATTCACGTGGCTACTGGGAAAGCTCCCTGACGGGGTTAGACGCCACGGGCCTCGAGCTGTCGTAGTAACTGGCGCGTTACAGATATGCTGGTATCCAAGTACGTCCCTAAGAGTGATCAGCTGCTTCAAGGGTACGAATTGCGAACATGGCATACGTGACATTGGTAAGCTGCTTATCGGTGGTGCCCGCAATTGCGTCGTAATTCACTTAGACCACGTGACCACTTATCGCCCGCAAAACGCCGCCCGTGAAATCGTGTGCAGGACGCCTGATAAGTGCATTTGATAAGTTCCCACCCGACTTATCGGGTTTCCGGCCAACCCAGCCCAGACATTCGCCCCGTAGGAAGGTTGCCCGATCGACCGAGATGGCCGCGGACGACTCGTACACGGCAGCTGACGAGCGCGCCGTGCCGCCCGGAGGGCGGGCATCCAGGCGAAGAAGGACGAACAGCCGGCGAACACGGCGCGGAGTTACGCGGCGAAGCAGCGGGAGTGGAAGGCGCGTCCCCCGGCCGGTCCTCCACTTCGATCCCTGTCACGTACGGCCCTAGGCGGCTAACAGACAAATACGTATAGGCCTGGTGCCATACGCCTCGGGCTGCAGCAGACGGCTCGCTCTATAGCTGGCCCGACGGCGAGCTCGTAACGCCGGACAAGCTGGCGGCGTGGCTCAAAGAGGATATCCTGTTACGACGCGTTGTGCCGCCGCAGAAGAAGAAGCCGCGCGCGCGGGGTAAGGTTAGGGGCAACGGCAACGGCGAGGCCGTACAGGTACGGCAACAGCGTGAGCAGGAGCAGCTCGAGGCCGCGGCCATGGCAGAGGCCGAAAGCCTGGCCGAAGCTTTGGAGGTCCCCCTGGCCGAGGCCGCCGAGCTGCTCGCTGACGACCGCGAGGGCTACGTGCCACCCACAGGCCTCGCGACGGCTGCAGTAGACCTTACCGAAGGGTCTTTGCTTACGAGGGGCACTATCGACGCCTATATCGCGGCCGTTATCGAGCTATGGAGACTCCAGGTGGCTCACGGCAACGCGAATACGGAGAATCCCCGGGGCGCCGCCGTACGAGGATTCCTTGAGCAACGGGGCCGGCAGCGGGGAAGCACGACCGCGCCTCCTTTAAAGACCGCGGAAGCGACGGGATCCAGGCCGGCTACCTCCCGATGAATGGCTTCGGATCCAGGATCTCCTTCTCACTGGCGCCGCGTATACGCAGCAAAACCTCCGTACGCGAGTCGACCTCCTCTTCGGCCACTACTACCTCTTACGGGGAGAACCGCCGCAAGATGGAGCTTGCAGACCTATCCCTACTCGACTATCCGCCTTCGGAGGCCCGACCCCTGTGGGTGCCTGGTAAGCCTTTTACGGGACGGCAAGCTAAATAAGACGGCGAGGAAGGAGTTTATGGGCGCGCTCCGGCACAAGGACCCCTTATTCTGTACTCAAGGGCCCTAGCACAGCTCTTCTTTGGCGCTGGCACGTCGCCGGCGAACCACCCCGTCCTTCCGGCGCCGTCAGGACTGGTATCGGATCAAGGTCCTCGTCGGGCGGGACCGCGAGCAGGAGCTCGTACCCGACGCAGCTACAAGAGACCTGGCGTATCTTCGGCGCTGCCGGCCTTATCGCGTCGAAGAAGACGCACCTCCCGCGCAGGGTGGGCGCCCAGGACGCGGAGACCCATGGCACGTCGCTCGCCCAGATCTCGCAGGCCGGCCGCTGGAACCAGAGCGTGCTCTGCCAGGCATATCTTACGCACCTACCGCGGCAGTTCATGCGGATCGTCGCCGGCTTCTCGGCCTCCCCGGGGGACTACTTCCTCGCGCGTGCGGCTCACGAACCCCCGTACGTCTTACAAAAGCAGCTGTGGCCGTGGATCGAGGAGTGGGAACCCCGCTTTGAGGCGCGCGCGCGCCGGCAATGCTGGGCAGAAGGCGGTCTCGACGACGACGACCTAGCCGCTGACGGCTTCCTTAAGCTTATGCGGCGCCTGCGTATAGTACTTCTGCAGGACCTGGCCGTCCTACAGCTCCGCTACCCGTCGCTACCGTTCTTCGCCTACGCCCCTTTTAGCGGGCCCGAGTGGGACGAGTTCGCCGTCGCCGTGCGGTCCACCGCGGTAGGGGCTATGGAGCCGGTAAGCCTGCTCGTACGACGCGCGCTGCCGGAACTAAGCGGCGTCATAGAGTGCACGCGGGAGGCCCTGTTACAGAATAGTCAGCGGCTCGCCATCCGGCTTGAGGCCCGGCTGGACGGGATTCAGGGCGGCCTCGATGCCCTCCTCCAAGGCAAGGTCCCTATCACCTTTACCGGCTACTTCGGAGCCGGGTCAGCAGAGGCGCTGGCGCTGGCCCCGGCCCCGGCGCCGTCAACAGTACCTACCTTGAATCTCAATACAGCTCCGGCCCCGGCCCCCGCCCCAGAGCCTCTGGTACCAGGCATGCCTATCGTCACAGCCCTGGCAAGGGTCTTTACGGTGGGGGACGTCTGGAAGGAGTGGGAGGAAGGGTTTGCAGGTCAGAAGGCCGTACGGGAGCTGGAAGAGACGTGGGGAAGCCGCTGGCGCCCGGGGAACGGGGTCAGAGTGCAGTTCTGTCGTCGGAAGGTGATCTGGGACGAGCTGTTGGCCCGTATGGCGTCCGGCAAATGCAAGGAGGCGGCCGTTGCAGAGCTAGAGCTGTTACGCGCCGGCCGAAGCTTGAACCGACTCGTCGACGAGCTCAAACAGTGCCGACGGCGGGGCCAGGATCGGGGCCAGGGCCAGGGCCAGATGCGGGTACAGGTAGGGACCCCCGTGCCCGATGACCCAGGTCCAGGCCCGAGACCAGGTCCAACTCGAGGTCAGGGCCGTCGGGGGCGGAGGACCCGGCTGGGAAAGCGGACCGCCCCTCGTCGACGTAAGCCAGCCGCCTCGTAGAGTCTTTATACATATTTATATCCATGTAACTAGACATATTTTTGAGGATCAAAGGGCCGTAGGATCAGTGCATTACTATCTCGCAGTTCCTGTAGCCGAGCCTAGCCCCCCATTACCCATTCGCGGCGCTGCAATGCAAATATCTCGACGGACAGCAGCCTATACGGAGTGCTCCTCGACCAAACGCGCCGCCGGAGTGTAGTAGTCCCCCAGGCCCCGGAATGGCCTCGATTGAGCTGCTGGCCGTGGAGATATTCGCGTGCGCGCCGCCGGGCACTTATCAGATGGTAGATGTGTAATCGCATACGATTTCCCGAAATTACTCCGCAAATCGACCCCACGATAAGTCCTGCTTATGGCCTACAATCGAGGCTAGGGACAGGGGGATGGGGTTGAATTGGTATGGGGAGGAGGTGCAGGTGAGTCATAATGGTGACTGTCCTCTTTTGCCTACTGTTTCCCGGAAATATCCTGAACTGGATAAGTAGATGTAGGTGGCCGGATCTTCGCGACTGTAATGGCCTCGCCCCCCGAAGCTTTACGTAATTTGACCGCCGGAGTCCGCTGAAAGTGCTCCCATGGCGTCATATTGCCGTGGCCCATTTTGGACTTGCATTTACCACCGCCAGGCGACAGGCAGCTACACATCAGAGGTCTGCTCGTCAAGAAGCGGACAATTCAGCAGCTCAAAGGACGCTGGCAACGACGTGAAAAATAACGATTAGACACAGCAGATGTCCACATCGGCCTTACAACAGTGGGCCGGGCATGTCCAGAATGCTTTTTCGCTTCTTGCCAATCCGGTGCCTATCTCTAGAAAGCAGCCCTAAGTGGATAGGCGGACATGAGCGGTAGGATCAGCGCGAGCTCGTCAATATTGGTGCTTTACAGTACTGTATTACAAGGCACAAGTAAGATGAACCGCTGGTATACGATGGCGTTTCTCCTCCAGCGACCTATTGTCATGCCTACTTACTAGACGTAATCAATACGGCTAGAGGTATAAGCACTGAATAACTATTAAGGATGTTAATGGACTGATAATTAGGCGTAGATAGACTAATAGGAATTGGTTCTGTGCTGGAAGGCCACGGGCATGTCCGCAGATTCGGCTCATTGTGCGTGCTACCCTGGGCTGACCGATCACTTGTTGCCTAAACTTGTTGGCCCTAATGATTTGTGTCTCGCTGCTGGCATGAAGGCAGGCTAGCACGCGTGCTATTGGGTCCGCTGGGTGGGCAATGGGGACCGACCTCGCGCAGAACACACCATCCAATGTCGATGCAGCAACTGTAATAGACTGGCAACAGCTTATCCGATAGTCACATAGAGACTCTTTCACCAAGCTATAAATAAATTTCTCCTGCGTATATTGTCTCTTTGTTATATTCTATCTCGCCCCAGATGCTTGCCAGGCGAAGCCCACGCCTGAATTTCGCCGGGCCGACCAGTCGTTCACAGACTTCAGGAAGCAAGTAAGGGGCTACCAGCTAATGATCCGCTCAGGTATAGATAGCGACATAGAAGGCGCAGCCTAACGCGAGGTGTGCCACGATAGTACTTAAACGCACCAGGCGGAGGAGATTAACCTGGGCGGATGTTTCTTGTTGTGTTGGAGCAGACGGGACTGTCTGACACTGCACGTCGTTTACTGTGAGTCGATGTCAGCAGACTGTGCGATCCACGATACCGAATCTAGAAACTCCAGATAGGATCACATGATATACTTGGGCGAGAATATTACCTATAAGACCACGAGCCCCATCCCGGCTACACATGGCTCTCTCTTCTAATCCCCCATATGTACTTTACCCTCTCCCTTCGTTATACTTTTCCCTACAGCGCCATGAATGCGGAACAAGCAGGCTACGACAGCCTTACCAGTTGGTCAGCCCGAAACACAGAGGGTCAAGAATTTCAGCCATATATTCACGAAGCCAATACCGACGACTCCGGTAGTGATTCTCTACTTGAAGGTCACATTAGCTGGGAGGAACTAGCCTTACATAGCGAGGTCTTTGAATCCTGGGGCATACCAGCGGACAATGGAACCGATCATGGCGGCTCGAATGAACCTGCCACTGCAAGCACTACTTGCACATGTGCCACGCTCTTTGCTAAGATGGACCGCAAGATCAGCGACCTATGTTGCCACGAGCTCAACAGAATTCGAAGGCGGCTGGCCGCCATTAGCTCTCGTCTCAGCGCCTTAGAAGCTCAGGCGGCCCAACGGCGGCCAGACCAACTACCACAGGGGCCATTAGGGCGATTGCCGGATGAAGAACCACGCGCGCATCGCCGAAGTGGTGGAAGACCTCGGAAGGCCGGCCCAGAGCGGACGAGCGGAGCCGCGAAAGCAGTGAACACAGTCAAGCTCTTGCGGGTTTGGCTGGGACATAATCACGGGGACAGAAGCCATGAGTATACGTTTAAAGGATCAAGAGAGCCTGCCGAAGGGTACTGGAGGTCTGACACAATCGGTGCCGACACGACGCTCGAGGGAGCTCATTTCGCGCTAATGACGGACATTCTTTCATTGGAAGTTGAGATTAACAGCGGCAGCCACTTTCCCATAACGTTGCAATGGAACGATAAGAGCGAGGTCTTTGAAGGGCAGGATATGCTGGGGGAAATGAATCTCCTTATTAAGTACTGGGAGGTGTTCGAGATGCTCTGCAATCCCTATAAGGCATGCACGGAATGGCAAGTCTGTTAGGCGTAAGTGAGCGCAGCTCGTTTTCAGCGGTCTGCCGATCATGCGTTCCATAATGAGAAGAATAATTTGATGCAGATATTAGCGGAATGTTACTTTCTGCAAACAGTGTTGGGGGACTCGGGCAGAGGTTAATCTCGCGAAGGAGAGAGCAAAAGCGGGCATAAACGTGGATAAAGGGACTTTTTGAAGGTCGAGTATCACCCGATCAGATGTTTTTTTTTTATCTCTCCCTCCCCCGTTCAAGCAGCCCCTTTTATATCCCTCCACGCTTCTCCCAAGTTGATATCCCGTTTTCAGGTATAGTATACATTCTATCAGGAAGAGGGCACTTCTTGCCACTTACTGAAGGCCACGTAAGTCATCTACGTCAGCAACATCAGCTCCATCTCCCCGATCAAATAGCTCTTCTAGCTATGAAATCGATAGTTCAGTCTCTCGAGGTCCCCGAGCCAGTAATAGTTATGCCGGACTCCTCAAAGGGTCCCCGTTCGAATAGGAGATCCTCCGGACCCCTCAGTGGTCTAGGAAGAAGAAACAACAGTCTGCAGACTTCCCTTACCTGGTTTCAAGCTGTATTACCTAGAGAGACCTAGAGACCTCAACTCGTTCGGACCTTCTTCTCGACAGTTAAGGGATAAATAAAGTAGCCGTGGACGATGAAGCGGCATTGAACTATGAAGCAGGATAAAGCTTTGTGGGATGACGACGTCGCTGCTGCTGCGACTAAAGAAAGTAATGTAGACCATGCAACCATAGTCCCTTGAAAGCACGTCTGCATAAAATTATAGCGTCTACTCAGTATGCTTGTGGAGAAAACTGCTTGTCAAATGAACGGCCACACCGTCCACCTGGGCATATCTCCGTTAGCGATTCTTTGCGCTTGCGCGGCTACGGAGTAGAGTGTATTGAACCCCCAAGCGCCAGACCTGAGTTGCCAGTATCATCATGCCCGCATGGAGGGCTATAAACTGCGTATTCACTAAGCGAAAGTATAGGGCCTCCCTGTGTTTTACTGAATACCATACGAACGTAGCCGCCAGAAAATCGATGACGGAGAGATTTACAAGAAAATCCGAGAACTATAAGTCTACAGACTCCTTACTCGGAGTATTGCCTTGGCGTTTGGAGTGGAACACCAACGGAACTGAGCTCATGGCTGCGAATATGGCAGCCGTAACCGAGCTCACAAGAGGGCATGAACAAGCATCGACCGACTTTTTCTGCCTACAAGATCCATTCCGTGTCAATACTGCAACGGAAACGGCGGCAAGCAGGGTTAAAATGCGATGCAAAGCCTCGTGAGACTCTGTCGTCGGAATGTCGTTGGGTTACGACATACCGAGCGAGAAGATGTCTGAGTATGATTCGGCTAGCTCAGCTTTGGGCAAATTACGGAGCCTTATATCGTGTCGCCTGTGCTCGGGTTTTTAATGGCTGGACGTGGCGCCGAGGAAGCGCTACTGATGACATGGCGTGACCAAATGCGGAGCTAGTTGACTATTTATGCACCGTAAAGCCGGGTTCGAGGTTGGGCGACGCTACGACGCTTTATCTGTAGACGGGGCAAAGCGGACAGTGAGGGCCAAAGTCGCCAATTGGTCAAACGCTCTTGGAACGTCTCGGCTATCCATTACTTGGCTCTAGGCCATTAGTGAAGACCAACAGCCAAAAATGCATATAAGGCGCCGTAGACTACGGTAAGAAGCACTACAGGCCGCTCAGTAGTTCATGCTACTGTAAGCCCGCCAAGGGAGCTCAGACTTAGCCTCGGACTCCTTGCAAAGCGGCGGGGCCCGGAATTCCACTTGTTGGTCAAGCTTTGGCCGGTCTGTTAGCACCGAGCCGAGTAGCTGCACGATTCTACGACGTTTAAGAGATCTGCTCGAGGTCTTCGGATCCTTGAAATTTCTTTGACAACATCTTGTGACTCGCCACCTTAATAATCTACAGCCACTCTCAACATGCCTGACGACCGCGATGGGGACCACGGTGAAATAGATTGGGGCAGCGACCCTAGTGACCTCCTTAGCCAGGGCGACTGCGACGGAAGCAACATAAGTACGTTTCCAACCAACACTCCAACGAAACAATACGAGAGCAGCAGAGGTAGTTTTAAGATTACTAGAAGCTCGACTGATAATTTCTCAGCTCCAACTGCTACCGGCGCGGCAAACCTCAGCCCCATTATCCCGGACGATAATGCTGCTGTACCACAGAAGAGAACCATGCAGCAATCTAGTACACCACAAAAGCGTCAGTGCAATACAACTACGCCATTACGGGCCGTAGGAGCAATCCTGCATTTGAAGTCTGGGGTGGATTTTACGTTCCGGCGGGATGTCCGATCCCAGTTGTGGGAAGACCAAACTCGGCATGCCTGGCCGATGAGGTCACTGATGGCTTGCCTCGACAGCCTCTCGGTGCAAGTACGGGGGAAAACCGGAGATATTTTCGATCTGCAGTTCCATGGTGGTGCTTGGGAAGGGAGTGATATTCGGAGGGAAAGATTCTCATTAGATCGCCGCACAGTTTCGCGGTTGATAAAGGATGGGGCTTTACTATAGCGGAGTGTTCATCGAACCCTTGAAGAATAGCCTCTGTAGGGAGTACTCGGTCAAACGAGTCCACGATATCTGTTGATTCCTAGAACGCAGTGCTACTCGTAAATACTCGAGCTTTACTTAGCCTCTCATTTCAAGCACTGTCTACGGAGACTTGTCATGGTAAGCGCGGGCCTCGCTGTCCCGCTCCGAACTCCTCCTCTTCCGTCTTTGTCTTTCCGTCTGTCTCCCTTTAACGAGCCAATCCGCCTTCACTACTTCACTTAGCATAGGAGTTCATACAGAATTCAGCGAAAATTAAATGTTAGCTCTCAAGTGTAATGGGCACAGTACGATAATGCCCCTTAACTATATGTCTTTAACGGGATGGCTGTGTTCGTAAGTGAGGCTCGTAAACGAGCTTTTCCATCCTCACCAATGTTCTCCACCCACAGAATCTTACCAGTTATATCAATTACAATAAGTAAATACGATTTCAGGTGCCTGGTAGCCATAGAAAAGTTGAACAGGCTGCAGAGCTTATCGGACGGAGGATTTGTATTATAGCGGTTATTGCATACGATTTAATGCGTGACTTGCAGCAAGTGGACGCTAGAGCAGGCTAGAGCAGAGGAACACCGCGTCCTTGGACTTGTGTCGCCGCCAAAAGAGGATCGACCGCATCCACGTAAAATAAGCGTTTCACGGCCAGTGGGGAAGATGACGCCTGTGTGTCGGCCATTGGATAGGAAGTCTCGGTGATCTACCGAACAATCGCTCAGCTTCATCTCGTTCATTACAACAGTGACATCGCTACTTCAGTGGATAAGAGACGTAGTCTATCCCCCTTAGTCTAACAGGCTGAAGACTGGGATCATGGTAACTGCAAATATATAAACGCCATGCCATTGCCTCACCTGCTCTTTCCTCATCTACGTCTACATACAGCTCGATTCCGACATGAACGTCAGATTCCACGAACCCTTTGATGCCAATGCATACAGAATCTTGAAAGAGAAAAGCGCCAAGGGGAAGGCTGGAAGAGCCACCGAACGTTTTTTCGTTAGCCCTCACGGGACCGGCTGCGGCACCACATTTTCCGCCAAATACACGGATATGGTCAACAGTGGCGGAGAGTCTTCGAATCCCGACCCTCAGCGCGTTTCGGAGGTGCCTACTCCAAGCCCGTCTACTATTACAGTTCAAACAGAGGCGAATTCTACCAGCAAAGGTCCTGCTCTGCCTATTCGAGCCACAAAGGCCGGGTAGCTAACACTTGGCAGATGCAGAAATCATTACCTCTGACTTCGAGGAACAGACACCGGAAGTATCGTGGACCGGGCCTTCCACGATTAGAGCAACAAGTCCGTTTCAAGAGCGTGCTCAACTCTCTCCAGTAATCCGATCACCGCGTCCGGCCATCTACTATACGGAACGGCATGATGTCGATGCCATGAGCTCAAATGTTACGTCGCTCAAAGAAATATGTCATAAAACTGCAGCTCATGCCCAAGCTACGCCGGCAGCCGCTGTTAATGCGTCAATGTTGGAAACAGGAAGTACGGCACAAAGCTTATTAAGGGTACTGGAAGAGGCTAACTCGTAAGTCAGAAAATGGCGCTACCGCGTCGCCTAGAGAGTATAGTAAAAAAGGTTCATCTAGCTTGCACAACTGGCACAATCCCAGTCCGCGGCGCCAGGCCCCCCTCGACTCCCAGAGTTTGGGCATCCCCAGTATAGAGGGCTCTCTAGATATAACCGCAAACCTCGAGCCGACGAGCCGGCGGTCGTCTCCATGGCTACCTGCGGCTGACAAGTTTGCCGTACGCGATGGGAGCTTTAGCAGCAGGACTAATTTGGAGACTAGTGATTCCGCTTCTGATGAAGACGTCCATGACAGCATTGAAGTTGCACCGCCTCCGGATTTAAGAGACTATACCGCCTACATTAGGGCTGCAGACGACGCCGATGGTGAGACCCCACCAGGAGAATGGGAAGCCCTCCGAATTATTGGCGAAGAGCGCATTAGTGGAAAGCTGCACTACATGATAGAGTGGAAGCCAAGTCTCGTGTCCGAAGACGATGCGGGAAATGCGACACAGCTGATAAGAGAGTGGAATAAGCGGAAGGCCCGTATTCAGGCCGGTGTGCAGAAGAGAAAGAGGCAGAAACGGATGTCTATAGCGGATAATAGGGTTATGTAGTGCAGTAATCATGCACGAGGATTTGACGAAGGACTGTGCACCCATTCTGGCCGCGATTAATGAGACTGCCTACGTCCAAGGCAGCTGTATACTATGTTCTTCTTGTAACTACCACGACCATGATCGCAGTGTTCAAGTAGGACACCATCGGTGCGGCCAACCAGTACTCGATACGAAACTAATTCGGGCACTGGACGACTGCCTCAATAAACAGCAGACGAGAAGAACAATATTAGTCTGAAAATGAAGATCCTCATCTTAAGAGAAGAATCTGGCTAAACGCCGTGATAAAAACAGGCGCCTACTAGAGACCGAATAGTTGAATAAGCTGCAAGCCATGAGTATGGAATTATAGGGAGTGCATTAATGTTTGCTCTTATAAGACTTCCTAACAAGCTACTTTGCCACTGCCAACCGAGAAAAAGACTTAATACTAAAATCAAAGTGCTAACGTCTCTAGCCAAGCCGCCGCGACTTCAAGAACATTGGCAGATTCGTGTGTCGAGAGGGCAAAGCATGTTCTACTCCAGTAAGACCCCTGCTCTACATGTAGCAGATCCACCACTTAAGATGCCCCCTGCACTACGTTCTCCCCAGCGGTAAACCCGTCGGCGTCGGCTAGTCTTGTCGCCAAGCGAGTGACCTGGAGCGCCAATATTCTAATGAAGTATTCCCTATATATTGAGTTAGAAATCGATAGACCAGATGTACACACTCTGCGAGAGTCGCGGGTCAGGGTACGGACAAATTCTGAATTCGAGTATCTCTATCGCCATCGTTAGCATCCAGTATACTCGCTTCGGCGATAAGACATACCGCTCTTGCCACTCAATATATTGCCCTGCCCATTGTTTCTTAGGTCTAGTCGTAGCTAGTCAGTCTCGTAGGTCGCCTTCTCGGAAGGTCGACGCACATTTCGACGCTGAACTGCGCACCGTCGTCTGCGGGGCCGTGGTAGGATCTATTGGGAGAGACGGAGCTGCAATTAATGTCAGCAGTTGCAACTGGTGCGGGTAGGGGTAGCAAACCTTGAGCCTATGGGGCCTCCGTAAGCGACACTACTCAGGGCAGCCAGGATATCCAAGGAACTTCGGTCGTGGTCCCGCGTATGAGGCGTAGAACGTGGTGGGTGGCCGAGCCAGTCGTGGGAAGCACTTGCGGAGCCGGGAAGGTCGATTGGTGGGAACCCATCCTGGTCTAGTTGAGATCTCTGGGGGGCGAAATGTTGGATTTGGTCGCCTTTGCGTTTCTGGCCCTGGTGATCAGAACGTAGCTGTCCAGTCGCAGCGCCTCGCTGAGGATAAAACATGGCCGGCACAAGGCACGCAGTAACGCTTAAGGGAGATAGCAGAGAGTTCTGAAACTAGAGAGAGGATTGAACAGCTTGCGCGTACAATTAACCACTCCGACCTCCTTTTTATAGCCATGTTTGTCCCCACAGCACGGTTCCGAAGAATGGCACCCTTCGGAGGAGACATGCAGGCGGCTCTGTGCCTGCACTTCGTTACATCTCCTCCGCGAGGGTGCCTCGTGAATAGGCCCCAGGCTTTGGAAATCCTGCGTGACTGCCACTGCTTCGAGAGTGGGATCATAAGAAGGCTCTATTATCTAGGTTCATATTGCTACTTCGCTACTTATATGCGTCTATTCCGCGCCTCGCAGTGACACTCCCGCAAGTGAAGGCTTGCAGCATCCATCCAAAATGCCTACATGTAGGTCAGAGGCGGTTGTCTGACCGGCCAGCGTGCTGAACCTTTCGAGCCTAGCGTAGCGTTCCTCAATCCATGATCCATGGTAGTAGCCTGAATCCATGATCCCTGACAGCAGCGTTCCTAAATCCATGATCCATGACAGTCGACTGAGTAGCCCCACCCCTTACACCATGGAGGTTAGCTTGATCGACGTCGGCCCGCCGCCGTTGGTGGTGCGGAAATAAGAGGCGCCCGCAAGATCAGACGATCATAGGATGCAATACTACAAGGAGCGGAGGCTGTCTGTCGCCATTTTTTTATGACTGGCGACATGGACGATTATGTAGCATAATCGAGCGAATGGGCGCTTCGCGATTGCCTAATCGCAACAATCTCTTGCTGCATCCTCCTACCACCGGGGATGGCGCCTGTCGTTCAATTGGCTAACCTCAGCCCCTTGAGAAACCCACAAATTAGGAGGCTCTTGGGCAGATGTCCCTTCAACTTCAACTGTCATCTCGTCGGTCACTGGTCGCTCACACGGATAAAACTAATAAGGACGTCGGATCAATAAGCCTACATTTAGTTACTAATAAATCCCACTATGGCTGAAGCCTCGACAATCCGGGCTGATATAAATAGCTACGTTATACTAGTCATGTTTCTCGCATGGCTTTCAGAGCCGCTGCTTACGTAGCCTGTATCTGCTGCGTTGCACCGTACTGTGGGGCCGGTGACCGGCGACCGGCGTTATGACCGTTAAAGGGCCACCGCGGTCCGGGCTCGGGCTAAGCTCCATACCGCTCCGGTAGGCGGCATCCATGTGATAGTAACGCATTAGGCGCGTATCCTACGAATGATCGACTCTTTTATTGTACGAGTGACTGAGGCTGCTCCGACATTCTCTACTTAAGGGGCTGTAATCCGCAAGCAAACTGGGCAATACGTCGACGCCTCTTTGGATCTATGACTTGGCATGTAGTTCCTGTGAAGACAATTATAAGCGAGTCACATGATAGTGCCTAGATGCTCAGTGCTGCAGCTCTCTACAGAAATCCGCCTTACTTCCGGCCACCTCAATGCTTGTGGATCCTCGGCTCCGCAATCTCCGGCCCGAAGCAATTTCCGCAGCTAGCCCGGCACCATGCGATGCAACCCCCGCCACAGAACAGGAGACCCCGCGCTTGGCGTGGATCTGCGTCGATAAGGTGCAACGGTTGTTGTGGCATTATCGCCGATGATTACAGTAAACACAGCCCAGAGCCGCGAAGTTATTCTTTAGTGGACGAATCAATCTTCGCCGGCCGTGAGGGTTGGTCGCCCACCACGTCTCGGCCTCTCACTTGCAACAGTAGGTGCGGGTATTCTGCGATCGATTCTCCCACTGAGGGCAGCCTCCTTGACAAAAGTGGCTTGAGCGAGCTCAGGCGGAACATGGCGAATGGTGGGGCCCTGAGCTGTGGGCGCGGTCGATTATCCGATGTCAGACAAGTGGCTCTCCGCCGTGCGGCTCAGTCAACAGTAATCCACCCTTAAAGCACGGAATAGCAGGGCAGCAGGGGAGCTGCGCAGCGCAATCCGGCCGCAGCGCCCAGACCAGCATGGTGTAGACCTAATCCTTGCCTCTACATGATCATAGTAATCGCATCGTGTCCGTTTTCTGCCGACAGATTGTACAGTCGTACAGCCTGTAGGTTAACGCATCCCCCCCAACTCCCCTTAGTGGCTATAGGCCAGGCCCCAGCATCGACCTAAAATGGACGGTACACGCCATGAAGCGTCTCCACCTAATTAGCAGCCGTTGATACTAACACCCCACCCCTTATGGATAATAAAGGGTGGCTGCGATGCAACCCGAAACTGACGCGGAAATAGAAGACAATTCTCTTTTCCTGAAAAGACGACACACTGCCGCTTCCAAGCCCTCCGTCCCCTATTGTATGGACTGCACTTGAGAAGGCCGAGCGGTCCAATATGGGTCGTGTTCAAGAACGCAGCATCAAGGAGAAGGCTAAGGCTCGCAAGAGCGGCCCAAGTGTCCTGCAGAAGACAAAGGACATAGGCGTCCTGGCGAATGTTTTCGCCGCCACAGTCCATTGGGACCCGACGCACCGATGTCATCGTGTCGCTGTCCATCTTCCGGAGGGAGAAATAGTGCCAGATGTGAACAGCTTAGTAGGTGCTACCACAAGCACCCGCAGCTCCAGGCTAATCTTGGCATAGATAGCAGATGCCTTAGCAGAGTCAGCCACGCAACAACCACAAAGACAGAGCCGCAGACTTCTCCAGTCCGCTCAATCCAACCGCGGCAAGGAACAGCAGCTGGCCTCGAGGCGGAACGCGAGGAGACGACGACGGTGCTCATCGCAATCACCGTTCAGCACGCCAGCTGATCCATATGTGTTTCCCGATACAAGCGCAGATGAGGCGGGGTCGGACAGCAGGAGCAGGGCTGGTGGCTCTGCTCGGCACAAATGTGGCGTCTCGGGCTCAGTCGGCGCGGCCGAAGGGGAGGAGCCACGTGACCTGCAGCATGCGCCGGGACACAGCACCGACCGAGCATTGGCCCCAGTTCTCACTTCTGTCGAGCCTAGTGACCCGTGCCAAGGCCATGATTCTATCGCAATGAACATAAAACAACCTGAAAACAGCATGTCATGGATAGGAGATGCCTCATGGGAGAACGTCGACATAAGCCTCCTAGATAATATATTTACAGATGACCACACGGCAGGAAGGCTGTCTGCCACGGAAGAATTACGAAAAACACAGGCGGAGTCTAGTGGTCTGCATGAAAAGAAGACTGCACCAGCTCGTCCAGTTCCTGGACTGAAATTTCGACGCCTTGCTCGAGATTCACTGATGTTGCTAACGGACATTTTGTCTTCACAGGCGAAGACAGCGCCTTTGTCTGGATAAGCTCCTGAAAGAACCCGTAACAGATACATAGACAGAAGAACTAAATACTAATCGCTACGCGGGGATTTGTTTTCTGCGTATATCATTAAAAATGGACTCGATGCTCGTTATATAAGCTATGCACTGATGGTACTCTTTTTTTTGCCACCGTTCTGCATGACGTGGGCAAGCCGACATTAAAACATCGCTGCTACATCGGGGGCGTAGTCTGCTCTCCTACGAGGTAAATGTAATGGAGACGCCGACAGCGTGAACGTGACGGGCGGCTGCTTGCCTATTGAATGTTGCTATTCTGTCTGATCTTGAATTTATTGTACCTTTCTTTGGCCTAGCCCTCGCTGCACTTGTTTTACTATTGTCTCCTTTGAGCGATTCGTCGCACAGATCATAGAAAACCGCCTCTAATGCCTCCATGGCACGATTACTGATTGTCTCAGATGCCTCGCCATCTCATCATTCCAGGTGCCTTGCGGACAATGCGACGTTCGGCACGCCTACAGTATATCGACGTCTGATTACACGTAGCTTATAATTCGCCCATGAAAGCATTAGAGGAGATTCTCTAGTGCAGCGTTTCAAAACGCAGGCACCGGACATTTCATGTCAAATTTTCTGATGGCCGGGGTCGTACAGTGATAGGAATATCTGCAACTCGGCTGCGGGCAGCTTTGTCTAGCCTCGAAAAAGGCACATGTGCTACACTACACGCCTTGCTACTGTATTGAGAAGCGTTCCGTACCCAGTGGAGCTCACACCATGCAACGACTACTTAGAGGCAAGGAGCCGCATGTCGCTCCATGAAGCCAAATCATTGCAGGTTCAACGATGAGAAATTTCAATCCGCTTTTTGTAATATGCTCGATCTTGACGCGCGAGAAGAGAGCATTAGTAGAACATACTCTAGCATCATATGTATCACATAACATTATTAAATGTATCCAGACGGTGGCTGGCGAGGCAAATACATTGACAAACCAGACAAAAAAAAGCAAAAATAAGCTTATTCGACTCTATTTGCAAAACAAACCCCAAAGAGCTGCTAACACTGAGGTTGTGAATGTTATCAACCTTTAGTAATATGTCTCACCGAGATGAACAAATTCGTGCCGACAAATATGAAGCGCGGAATACGTATCCAATAAGACAGCACTAAAGGAGCAGTCCATTGTAGAACGGCATCACACGATACGATGGGCTGCTGTTCGTACCACTACTGTGGTGCGCATATCTACCTGCCTGAGCACCTTTACCCCTGTGTATTTGCTGCTTGACTTGACAGCGCAATTCCCATGGTCGACGACTTTGTACGCATCCCCAGGTCGCTACGAAACGACATAGACTTGCGTCAGTGTACACCCCAGCAATTGCCATAATGAGGCGACATGGGCGGTAACTTTTACGCAAGTCGCTCAGAGCCCAACTCGAACTCGAGCTCGAGCGGTGCAGACAGAGCGCCATCGACTCGAACATGAAATGTGGTATTGGCGAAAAGGCCGGAACTGGCGCGTAGTAACTACACTGAGGCATGGGTCGAGACGGCAAAGTCTTGGAGCTGGCTCCGAGAGCGGGTCTCTCTCGGTTATCGTCGCCCTCGAGTATCAAGATCGATCATACGTACATGTCCACCACTGACGCATTGCCCAGCTTGTATGCGGATTTTAGCACCCTCAGGTAGGATAGGACCGTACACCCCACGAAT